GTAAATACAGTGAATATTCTTAATCTGTCCTCATTTCTCAAAATGCAAGCACAGGCCAACAGGTCATTACAGGGTAACAATTCACATCAGAGCCACTGATTCTGGAGTGGGCCAAGAAGGAAGATTACATTTCTACTGGAAACTATACATAGTATACTCACCGCAACAGCAGAAATAAAGGCATCCATAAGGTGGTAGTCTGCTCCACCATGTCCACTCATGCCAAAGTGCCTGGGGGCATTATTGTGTGCCGTATGCTTTGTGGCTCTCTGGGTCAGAAAGTCAAACACACGTACCTCATGGCCGTCATATGACAGCTCCCCCTGTGAACACACAGTTCATCATATAGCTTCCACTTAGCTGATGGATCCGTCGTAGAAACATACATGTATCCCAATATGATTTTGTTTGGTCACACCACGATACAGTGGCTTAAGGTTGTAGGGTTTTTTTCTGTTCTTTAACATAATCATAATAATTTAACAGAATCATTGTGTTTGAGTCCGCCATGGTCAACTGCCATGTTTCTACAGGAGAACAAAACCAAACACTAGATATGGCCTTTTTCATGGCCACCATAGTTTCCAGCTAGATACCACTAAATCCTACACACTGGGTTTAAATTAATAATGAATTTTTCTGACTGTTCATCTACATACTATTTTCTTCTTTCTCAAAACTATCAAAATGTCAATTGTTATTTTGAAAATTGTGCCACATTGGATTGATAACACACTGATATCAATATATGGCCAATCTTTAAAAGAGCACTTTTATATTTTATCTTAGGAAATCACCATTCTTTCCTACCTTGCTGCCATAGATGGATGTTTTTCGCTTGCATATCTCCTCAGTGAATGCCACCATGGAAAAGGCTGCCGTCACACCCCCTTCAAACTCCATGTTGACAACCTGAGCATACAGAACAGATAAACAAGACATACGGAAATAAATGTTATGTTTCTAGACATAAATAATAACCTATTTTTAAAGGAAAGTAAATTATGAATTTGAATTTTTTTTATGAACTCTTTGAAAATTGTGAACATCTTCTCAAATATATTGGACAGAGTTAGGAAAAAAGATATTACCTAAATGACAACACCAACAACACAAATTCTGGAAACAGGAAAGGTTGTAAATAATAAAAGAGGCAGTGTGAGCAATGATGTGGCGCAGACAGATACAACAAGGCAATACAGCCTGTGGCTTAAAGCAAAATAAATACAGTAATGCCACACAGTAATAAGCTGCTTCTAGATACCATCATCATCATCATCATCATCATCATCATCACAGAGGTCAAACTGTCAGGTCAAACTACATCCAGACAAGTAAATCGTCAGATATGATCTCTTTTGGGAAGAGTGAAACAGTCTTGGATATCTGACGATTTAGCTGAAATGATCTGACACTGTAGTTTGACCTGACAGTTTATAGCACCATGGATACTGGTGCATCCCTTCATTAAAGCGCAAACCAAACTTAATCTAACCTGGTTACTGCAGACATCGTTGTCACACTCATAGACACAGCGGCCATACGGTCCTGTCCTCAGCGCCTCAGTTACTGACTCGATGTCTGGGAAAGAGTTCGGACATATGACTGATACAGGCCAGCCAGTGTTACCCTAGCACACATACAAACACAGCACATTTAAAATGATGTATAGCAAGTGAAGTATTATGTTACACACAGATAGTAGATAATGGGTTAAAATCCTGTGTTAAAATATTAACCTGTTTCACTCTATCCAGGTAGATTTTGCGTGCAGAGTAAGCACAGTCTCTTTCTATTGAACAGTCCAGGCAGCGATCTGCAGCGCCTGTTGGCTGACAAAAAACATTTGATACTTATGCTTCATATTTATGTTAGACATAGCAGAGAGTACTGTCATGGATAGGATATAGCTTAATGACACCAAAAGACAACTCATCAGCTGTGAAAATGATTTAAGTGGTGTAATGTTATGTGCTGTTTCACATAGTATTTATAGATTGGCTGCTGGTTCCCTTTGTAGTAGTGATAGTGTCTTTGTATTACACATACCTTGTTTTCTTTTCTGAAGTGGCTAACGGATCCAAACGATGACACTTTGACACACCTGCCCAGTAGAAACAGTGAAGTTAATGATTCATTTTAGGAAAAACAGAATCAACTCATGGAAAACAACACATCCACCTGTAACCAGAGAGACTGAGGTCTGACAAAACCACCTTATTCCTACAAGCATCATCTGAATAGAGGCATTCCACAAATTGATACACCTACAGGACATTAACCCCGTTGACCAAACAACTTGTTTATTTTAATGTTTGTTGCACTTCATTCCTGGACATCAGATGAGCTTGGGGTTAATCATTGACTGCTGTCTGTTTGTTTACCTGCGTGCTCCAGCCCAGTGATGCATTAGGTCAATGTCATGGCACGACTTAGCCAAAAGAGCAAAAGAGCTCTCTGCTTCATTCCTCCAGTTCCCCCGAACAAATGAGTGAGCGAAGTGATAAAACCCAACCTGGAACGAGAGGTAGACAAAACTAATCTGTAACAGTTAACAGGTATATTATTTAATGAATGGCTTTAATAGATGTGAGTGTTATTTTCTTTATTTCTATTCTATTTGCATTCTTACCGGCTCCAAGTGTTGAATGTGGATCACATCACCTATGACTCCAGCATCTATCAGCTCCTAGAAAAAAGTACGTTTATTTTATTTTTTTAAAGCAAATAACAACCAAAATACTCTTGGCTCTTAAATATTCTTAAAAAAAAAAAAACTCAATTACAGGTTAAGGTACCCAAATTACCCAAAAATTTAAACCAAAAACTGTCAAATGTTTTCATAAACAGAAAATGTTCACCTTTATTTTGTGGATGACGGGATCATAGCGGAGAACATGACCCACTGACAGCATCACACCACTCTGAGTGCAAGCCTCCACAATCGCCGTGCAGTCTTCAGCAGTTGTCTACAGTCGTGAACAAAGTGTGCAAGGAAGTACGTTACACAAATGCAATCACAGAAAGTAAAAGCACGAGAAGAAGAAAGCTGATACAGAAGAATGAACCGGTATCTTCTCCAAATGTACGATGTGCTTGAAAAAAAGAAACAATGTTTGTAAAAATATAATGTGACATGTTTTTTTCAAAGGGGTAATTTTTAATCAAAATACAGAATTGCCAAACTAACATGCAAAAAGTTAGTGTAAAATTCAATCTGTATTATCATTAACAGCCATATTAAGGTTAAAGTTCTGCTCTATGTTAAGATGGTTAATGTTTATTCCACTCACTGCCATTGGTTTCTCCAGCAGAACATGGTAGCCCTTCTTCGCAAAGGCCACCGCAGGTTCCTGGGGGACACAATCTAGTTTAACAGACTGATAATGTAATTTGAAGACTTAAAATTTAGAGTTTCACATACAATATAAACAGAATATACATATACTTATTGTATATTTACCTTATGAAGTCGGTCTGGAGTACAAATTAACACAGCATCTGCAAACTTCTCTCTTTCAACTATACTGTGCCAGTCTGGTTGAAAAAAAAACAAAAAACATTTAGTAAATGAATATGAGGCAGATAATTATAAACAATTAAACACACACACACACACACATAGGTTAAAGCTCACCTCCAAATATGTTTTCATCTGCAATTTTGTGTTTCTGTTGAAGTTTAGTGCGAGCGAATTTCCTTGGATCAGCTACTCCAACAACCTGAAATGGTGAAGTTGAGTAAAAAGCACTCAAATACTCCATTACAAGTAATTATCTTAAAGGCTGATGTATCAGGGCAATTATGCAACTGTTTAAAATCACTGCACTTTCTATGGTTACATAAAACACTAATCTTAGGATGAAATGAAATCAAGTGAAATAAACTGTATGCAAACTGACTTTACATGTTTCTTCCATTAATATATTGCCAATTATCTCGTTTTGTCTGGATATCATTTGGCTCAGAAACACTCAATTAGGAACACAGCACACAAACATCCCTGTCCAGTGAAGGACACAATCAGGCTGCAGGGCAACCTCTCCTGACCTGCACACGATCAGGATGGACGGATGCAAACTGGGAGTAGATCTCCCCTCGACTGCCAGCTCCCACCACGATGACCCGGACAGGGGAAGTCATTCTGGCACCCTGTGAACTTTGACACAAATCAAAGCTTTGTAGACGCACCTTACACAATGCCTGAAGTAATAAACACTCATCAGTCAGAGGTGATCACCTGTACAGTCACCACATCTCACATACTATAGGTTGTTACTCACTACATCTACAGTGCCCTAGATATACATTAACCATCATTTGAAGGTGGATTAAATTAACTATTTAAACACATTTTTATCTTTCCCAGTATAATAGAATGAATACCCGAACCGATACAGTAGCTAAATGAGAGTAGGTCATTATATTAAACATGGTTTCTGGTCAATATTTCTCAGTTTGTGACATGGCTGTTTGTCTCAGTACCTGTTTTGTCCCATACAGCTGTCAAAACATTCTGTCTCTCTTCCGCGTTGGTCCAAAGTTATTCAGACACGACTACAAAACCATTCAGTCAGCGAATGACTACAACCGCAGGGGCTTTCACTTCTTCTAACATAAGAGTGAACCTCAAAGCAGTCAGACAGCTGTCTACCGCCCCCTACAGTGCGCACACGGTACTGCGGCTGCATTCACGGCTCCTCGTAAACTGCATTTTCATTGTTTATCGCAGGGCAAGTAGAAAAAAAATGCACTATAATACTGAACTCACGTCTGGGTATTAATGTGGGAGCACCAGGCAGCTGGATTTGCTGTTATATCGGCTTATAATCAGTTATTCAGACTGAAAACATATTTGGGTCGATGTCATATGATAGTTGAGGCCACATTTGGTCAGAGTGATATAAACTAAAGCCTGGTGGTTACACGTCCTCCCTCGCATCCAAAAATGTGTCTACTCAAAGAGGGTCTTATATTATTTAGCTGACAAGCAGGCCAGTCCGATGAATCACCGATTAATGCCACATTCCTCAAACCGTCGCGCTACATATTTCCGACAGCAAGCGAAGGCAACATGTTAGCTAGTTCAAGATTAGCAGTTAGCAGTGATTGTGTAAAATGGTTTCAGTAGTGATATTAAATCTCTATTAGTCGTTATACGTC